CACCATGACAACAGGATTTTCACAAATGATAAGCCTGGCTTCCCATGATGCATTTTTAAGACTTATTAGTGTTATGGCTGAGAAACTGCCAATATTTCAAATGTCATCCTGAATGTATCTTGATGAAAATAAAAGGATGTCTAAGGATAACGTCAGCATGAGAAACAAACCAGCAATTGTACCCTCCTAATACAGTTAAATTACCCAACAAATCAAACTCTAAATTTTTTTTTTCTGAGGTTGTAAATGATCTGAAAACTGTAGGAAGGCACTTTTTTAGATACACGGTGTAGGAACTGGTGAAAGCTCAGCAAAACTGTGTAAAGAATTCTATTGTGTTTCTGCTGCAGTCTTAGGTTGAGAATTCTAGAATTAATTTTAACTAGCCTTTTAGCTAAATTGTTTTTTTTTGTGTTGAATTATTTCTGAGAGAGTATGCATTACCTTTTGGAAATGTTTCATAAATGTGGTTTTGCTTCTATGGAAATATTTTGAACTTTGGTTTGTGTTAGGTACATAAAAAAAATAAGGTAATATGTAGTGAAGGGTACTTGTTCCTAACCCCAAAGGTTTCGGAAGAAACATTTTTTTTCCAGTATAGCTCTCTTGTTTGTAATTCTGACTCATCTGTTGCATTCTGTTTTATTGCCACTTCGTTTTCTAATAAAACCTCTTTGGTTTTAGCTGATTTCTTTATTTTGTGCTGTCTCTTGGATGGTATTTATTCTAGCACAGTCTCACTTCGTATTTTTCTAAAACGCGCTTGTATTGGTGGTCTCAAAGGAAGAATGCTCCTGAAACTGAGCCAAGGATACTTCAAACCGGGCACTCAAAACCATTTGCAGTTGGAGAACACTTCTAAAACATTTGTCCGTGCTTTGGTTGGTTAAAGGGGAAGGGATTCCCAAAATATTGTGTACTTAGAAACTGGGAACTTAATGTTCTTCCTCCCCAATACAGGCAATTAAAGGAAGTGTGGGGAAGAACAATTATATGTATTGCAAAATATTCATGATAATACTGTCTTCCATGCAGCCTGAAGTAGTAAAATGGAAGTAATAAAAAATGTTTTGCCAACTTTGCATATTATTTAGAAGGATAAATTTAATATTAGCAGCTCTTTTGTCAAGCATAACAAAAATAATTGCTTTTAATAAATGTTCTTATTGGTAGACATTGTCATATGATACTAGAATGGCTCTTAAATCTTAAAAAACTACATTTAAACAGTGTTTAAAAACAAAACAAAAAACATATAGGCTTGCATCAGATCATGAAAGAAAAGCTGAATTGTACTTAAAAATAGCACGGCTGATGCAATAGTCAGGCTAATGTTGAAGCCTAAGTATTCTACCCATAACATTGGCTCCAATCCTGCCAATGTCTTCATAAATGAAGAAAGTTCATACTGCAAGAGTGTTCCAGTCAGTGGTGTTCAGTCCAGTCAGGGGTTCTGATGCAGGGGGAGTGGAGGATGTAGGAATCAACCTTTAAAAGATTGGACTTTCAAGTCTGTCCCCCACCCCAACCTGGGTATTTTTGTTTATTATTTGAGAAACAAACAAAAATTCTATTAACACTGGAGTTTAAAAAAAAAAAAAGGGGGGGGTGGGGTGGAGTGGGTGGGCTGTGTGGGGGGCTTCTAGGGATTTCTGTCAGAAGTCTCCTGGACTCTGGCCCTGCAGTTATCCTTTTCCTATTGCCATACTGCTCTTCCCTTTGCCCCCAGTAATTTAAGTTCTTGTATCTCTTTCCTTTGCCTTCCCCACTGTTTTGCATCTTCGGACTTTCTGGCTGCTTTAAAAAAACCCAACCAGGATGGGCTGCTGCATTCTCAGCTTGGGCTGTTGCTACCTGGATAGCTGGTCATTGTCCATCAGAATGAGTAATGGTGGGGGGGCTCTTTCCATCGAAGACCCAGTCAAAATTGAGATACAACTATGTGTAGCAGGCACGAATCTTGTGGAGTCTGAGTGGTTTATCATTGCACACTATTTAAGTGTAGTAACTAGAAATTTGCAAGTTTGTATTTTTAAACTGTGTATGTAAACTAAATGAATTACTAGTAACTTTTAGTCATTTACTGAACAAAATGAATGATAAAATATGGAGATGAGTTTATTATGATAGCTATGAGCCCTCTTTTCCTATAACTTTAGGTTTTTGTGTTTAATGTTAGCTGCAATTCTAAAATGGGTTGTTAAGCTTGTGTGAATTTGGCTTCCTCCTGGTAACGCTGGATCTTCCCATTGAACTGTGTACTTTATGACTAAGTTGTGTGGAGATGGATTACTGACATCCTTGTCCAGTGTCATGTTTTTACCTCAGATTGACTTTGTTTACACTATATGCTCATGCTCCAAATGAGCATGTAGTAGTAGCTTAAATTTGCATTATGCTAGATGGAAAACAGGGTAGTCACACGTTACTGACCTCTCTGTTTTCTAGCTGCCAAATAGACTTTTTTTTTAATATTTAGGACTCTGTTCAGAATAATCATTTGCTCTGGTTTAAGTAATAAACAAGAGGGAAGGGGTATGTGTTGTGTTAATGCGTGCTGGGGAATGGGTTGGGAAAGAAGGCATGAAGTGGTTGTAGGTAGTGGGAAGAATGTTAAAGATTTATGTTTTGTCTTTTCGCTTTCCTTTTAAAATACTTATACTTTCTCAATAATGTTTTACCGCTATTTATTAAGTTGCAGTTAAAGATTCATCATGTGTTTGCATATATATTTTTTTTTTTAGTCTATACTCGGTATTATTTTGCTACAGGTAAAGAGCTCTAGATACTGTGGAGCTCAAAAATCTGTGCAGTCCAGTTAATGATTCATTTCCTTAAAGGCCAAGTTTATCATGGTTAAATTAACGGCTCTTCAAGAACGATTTGCTAATGTGCATGCTGCTAACAGGTACTGAAGTGATTCCACTGGAGTTGTGGGGTATACCCTTCCCCTCGTCATCCTTCCCTCCCAGTGCTTCCTGCTTTGGAGACGGGAGGCATCTTCCATATAGTTATGTTGAATACGTGCTTCATTGCATGTTTTTGTAACCAACTGCAGTAAGTATGAAACCAAATTATTGATTGTGGTAATGAGAGACTATCGATATTTTGTTAATGCTTTTGGTTTTTTTACTGCACCCTTTTTTTCTGTCTATGTATTTTAAATGTACAAGAGAAAAAAATGATAAATGAAAATATTGAGTGATAGTATCAAGATACATTGCTAGAAAAGCAAACTTTTGACTAGTATAGGCTTTGATGTCGTATTTCTGAACCCTGCATTCAATTCATGTAAAAAGAAATGTTTTAATGCTGTATTGCAGTGTGCCGTTTAGTGCTCGCCCAAATACTTCCTGTAGCTTCTCTCCAACAAAGCTGTACACTTGCCTATGCAAGTACAAGTACCACTAGAATGCATTTCATTGGGTACCGTGTATGATTCTTCTGTCATGCAGGCTGCTTAAATATATATATATGCATGCTTTATTTTATAAAATAGAAAGAAAGAACTTGACTGGTAAATGGCAATTCCCTGATGACTTGAAAAAAGGGCATTAAAAGATTGACTGGGCTAGGAATAGCAGAATGTTACAGTAAGTCACATCTTGAAGTATGAAGTTAATAAATCTGTTTGAAGAATTTTTCTGTTGGACTGAAGTCTACAATAAAAATAGTTAAGAAATAGAAGAATAGTAAATTACTTTATGTGAACATGTAAAATTATATACGTGAAGTAATACTCAATATAATGCTTGTCCAGCAAAAAAAGGAGGAGAAAAAAAAAGCAGTTACGCAATATTAAACTCTGGTCTAGTTTGCAAAATGCTTATGGGGATTTCAGTTATGCAGATACTAAACTATGAGTTAAGAATCACTTAAAACTTGGAGAAATAGCTATTTGGAAGAGTAACTACACTTCAAAAACACAGACTCATTTTCAGTTGAATTCTATATAATGTAATGCTTAGCTCTACAGCCTCTAGAGAATGGATTTTGAACGCGTGCCAACAGTGAAGGACTTTTACTTTATTAGGCATCTGTGTTGCAGTTTTCTTTGTTGGCTATGTCAAGCTTTGTCACATGCACTGTGCTTTCCTTTTTGTGCATTTCAGTAAGCTAGAAGATGGCGTTTGACTTAAATCAAGAGCGTGTAAGATAGTTTTCTAATAACGAACTTTTTTGTTTGTAGAAGTGATGGCAGCATGGTATGCTTGTGAGATTTTTTAACGATTTTTTGGCAGCTAGAAAGCCACGAAGTAGAAAATACGATAGTTTGCATATAATATACAGCTAAAACCTGAGAACTTTAAAACTTGAGAACTTTAATGCAGATCTCTCTCAGTCCTGCTGCAAGCTAATTTTAGAATCTTGCCTAAACAAGAAAATCTGATGGAAGGAATGGAGCCTTGCTGGTCTCTTGTAGGAGAGCTGACTTACAAACTTACAGGCAGAAGCATTTTATTAAATATAGCTGGTTTGAGGAAACACTGGCCTTTACGTTTTGGCACAAAAATCATAAATCAGGCCACTAATTTCATGCTAAGAAAGTCATGTCAAGAATATCTCTGGTGTATGTTGTTGTCAAACTTGCTTCAAAATAAACTATGCATGTTGTAGATATTAATCATATACAGAAGTGTTCGGTAATGATTCAAATGGTGGGGTTTTTTCAAGAAGGTTCGTAGTATCGTTGCGTGTTTGCCTGAGTGTGTGGGAAGCTCTCTTTTATCTGCCCTGGATTGTGTTTATTTTTGTCAATGAAGGAAAGAGGGTCCTGTGAGATTCAGTGTATGGTTAAACACTCTCCAACCCAGATCAGTCAGTGGGGTAAGTTTCTATTTTGGTATGGATGTTTGATGTCTGTCTCTTTTCCTGTTCTAAATAGCCTAGGCTAGAAATAGACCTTTATGTGTTTCCCCTATGTATTTTTTTAATGTATGATTTGATACTGTTTTTTTTTTCTTGCACGCAACCTAAACCAAGTGCTAATATTTCAACAGATACAGAATGACAAACACTGGTATGCCTGTGAAGAGGCACTGCCAAAGTTAATTGTGTCTAGTGCAAAAGCTGGGAGTTCTGGCTGATCGCAGCAGGTAGGTGTGAAGGTGCTTGCATGGAGAGAAGATACAGGGACAGCTCAATGCAAATGGTTTTACTTAAGCAGAGCAAAATAATACATTTCAAATGGCCTTTGCCTCAGCTGACTTATGAACATCTTTGTTATAAAACTTGTGGTGGTCTTATTCCAAGTCATATTTGAGAAAATGACAGAATTTTAATTTGATATTAAAATATGGGGGAATTTGAGGTAATACTCGAATAAGGGAAGTTAAGTCAGCAAATCTTAAGAAAACATTCAACTAGCTAATTAGAACCAGCGTGTTTTATGTGGTGGTAGCAGTACAAGATAATCTAGAATGCATTTTTCATGTACTGTTAACATCTACTAGGTGAAAATAAAAAATGTAATTCTAATCTAAAACATAACTGACTGCGCATGAGACTTTTTAAACTTGACTCTTGAACCTAAGAGTCATACTATATATTGCAGAGGTGTCATGGTGTGCTTGCACATCATTTGCAAGTCATGAGACTAAACTGGGTTTCAGTCTCCGCTGTCACCAGCTCATGTTAGACAAAAATAAGCCTTAGTTACATTACACACTTTGTGCTGGAGAACTAACACAGCTCACAATAGCGTTTGACATCAGTTTGTGTCTCAGTGGTAACAGTTACTGGAAAACTCAGTCCAGTTTTGGCTGTAGAGTTCTTTTTGCTACTGAAAATGAGGAAAGGATCAAGCCTGTTGCGTGGTAAATTCGTAAGCTCTTAGAGTCAGGAAGTTCTTTTAACATAAAAGATGTAGAAATTAATATTTGATAGGGAAAGTAACATAGTAAGTGCTCAATTCTGAAATGCATGTTTTGAGTACTGTCCAAAGTAGAGCTTCTTAAAACCGGTGACTTTAAGAAAGCAAATAATTTGCTCAGCTTTTGTTTTCCAGTGCATCCATGTTGCCCTTTTCTAACATTACTCTATTATAAATACATATATTTGACTAAATGTTGCATGAAAGGGGAATTTTTGCTGTATTTGAATTCTCCAGAGATCCCAGACACCAGAGGAAAGTCATGAAGGAGATGATCAAGGGTCAAAACCCTACAGAATAAAACTCGGAGCTATTCTTACCTGAAAATTCAGTTTGGACACCTACCCCACCCCCCCCCAAAAAAAACCAAACCAAAACCCGCACCAAACCAAACCAAAAAAACCCCAAGAAAACCCCCAAAACAAACAAAAAAACCAAACCAAAAAAACACTCCAAAATCACAGGCATCCAGTCTGGTGTGGCTGTTAAACAGTACTGGAATCACTCCTCTTAACATTGCTGATGTGTAGTATTTCAGCTTCCAGGTTCTGGCTAAAAGACCCTGACCAAAGAAGTATAGAAATTATGTGAAAATTGAGAAATCAGTAAGAAAAAGATGCTTTTTTTAAAAAAAAAGTGTAAGAAATTTATGTTAACTAATTGCATGTAGATGGAATCAAATTAAATCAAGCAAGCCATGTATTAAGAGCTAAAGAGGAAAGTACAAAGACACTGTTAATATTAAGAAACTGCACATTTTATGTGCTTTCTTCAAATTCAAGGTATGCGTAAATACTATAACATTTGTTGCTGTAGTTGGCTTTCTTAAGGAGGAAAAAAAGTGGCATGGTATGGTGTCTTAAAAACAGATTTTTTTATTTTTTTTTTTTAATAATCACTTCATGCACTCTGCCCAGAAGCATAGAATTTCCCAAAGGCTGAATGAAGGGCTGTCTTTATGACAGAAATATATATTAGTGCCAGTAAAGTCTGTTAATCTGATTTAAAATGTGGTTTAGTTAGGCCAAAAAAAGGCTTCCTCTGAACTGTACTTGGCATACAAAGTTGACAAGAAACAAAAAGTGTGTTAATAAAGACGTTTAAAAATGTTTTTGCAATGAAAACACTTTTAAAAATGAAAAAAATAATTATAACATTGTTAACAAATAGCCATTTCTTTAATTTTATAAAACTGATGCATCTATTAATGGGAATTTTTACAAGGTAGTATTTTATATAATCAACCAGTCATTCAATTTTATACCCCTAGTGCTTTCCTGCTGTTACATATGCACCAAGAAATATTGGCTGTGTTTCTCAAATGTGTGTTTCTGTGACAGCTATCTACAATTTTGGAATTCTGTCATGCTGAGTTCAGAAAAGCTGTAGCTTTTTACCACTCCTAAACTGGCAATAGGAAGGATCTTTAAGGGATTGGTACCTATGCCAGTCTCAAGTAGCTATTGTCCGATGCCTTGTCTGATAATCCACACAACGCTGTGGCATCTCTGCTCTTCAGTAGGCCTTTAAAGAAGTTGAGCGCAAAATGTTTCTGGAGAGAGGCCAAATGCTTTAAAACAAATCCTCAAATTCAGAAAGTCAAGATTCCATTCTATTTGTCTGCAAGTTTAACTTTTAATGATGGGTTGCATGATAGTCTTTTAAAATCAACACTTTGATGGTTTTGCTGCCTTTTCTCCATCTTGGGACTTGATAACAGTATCTGGTATAGCTGTTGTAATGCTCAGTGAATTCTTCCCTTCTCTCCTGTCAAGTCCTGTACCCCCCTGCCTTTCCTCCCTGCCCCCCCCACCCCCCAGAAAAACCCCCAAACCAAAAAACCCCTAAAAAACCAAACCCCCCAAAAACCCCACAAAAAACCCAAACCCTGGGAAGTTTTGGGAAACTTAATATTTTTTCATAGTGTCAGGAGCTTGGAATTTAAACAGTCAGCCTTACGTCACTCCTGTTGATGCTTTAATATGTATGTCATGTTGGTGCTAGTTTCCAGAAGAAAGATGCTTTACTAAAATTTGTTGTTCTTGTAATGTTTATTTTGAATAACAGTTCAACTGGATGCTGGTGCATAGATCCTGCAGTGGGTTTCAGCCTGCACATGTTTCTAGAGGTATGACTTATGATAGCAGGGCAACAACTATGTAACCTAGAAGAGGTTTCATTTTAGGAACTGCAAATATGGCTAGCTGCACTTCAAAATAATTGCATGATGCTTTAAAATTTTAGTTTGAGGGTTAGAAATAGTTGATCTAGCTGCAGGTAACTTGGAATCAGCTGTGGCAGTTTGCATTTTGTTTCCACGTTCTTTCTCTTGGATCCTGCAGTTGTTGGGGCTGCAGTATTAGAACTAAAAAAAAAGCATTGTTGCTTATGTTGTATACTACTTGCCTAATACATAAATTCAGTTTTTTGATTATTTTGCAGATGGTATTCTGTAGAATTTACTCAGTCTTTTAAACTTTACTGGCTACTGAGCTGCTGCTCACTGAAGCAGAAAAATGGGGGATCACTCTTCACGGGCTCTTGAATTAGTGAGTGGCAGTGAAACCTGCCATGTTGAGAAGGAAGGTGAAAGAATGCACTAAAGGGAGTTTTCCTCCCAGAATATCTATCAACAGTCAGGTCACTGTGGAAAGACATTGCAGACATTCCTTTCTTTGCCCAAAGGAGATGAGAACATTGATTATAGGATTCCTTACAGTCTTCTGTATGCTCACAAACAGAACTACCAGTGTCTTTCCTGACCTCATCTATATCTGAAGATCATCAACATAATGTTGTTCTTGTGTCATCATGGTCATAATTCCTTCCTGTTCCAACTAGAAGGATCCCATCACAGCTTACACTTGAGGTAACTCAGCAAACAGTGACTGAGGAGCTGTTGTGTATTCAGCTCCTTAAGCTCTCTTAACATCCCATCTCAGTGAATCACTTCTGATGTTTGATGTGAGGCAGCAAAAAAAGCCTCTCCCAAAATTCCCACAAGAGGGATTCAGGTACTTTGGATGGTTTACTCTAGACCTCTTTTAAATCTTTGGAAGAGCAAAGGGGTGTTTATTAGCCTTTCTCATCTCAACATGCAGAAAGATGTAGTGATTTCAGCCTGAAATACGTATCTGTATATAGGAGTCAATCAGGCTAATATTTTTGATAGCGAGAACACAAAAATTACCAACCTCATTTATTCTTTAGAGTTTAAGGGAAGAAAGCTGTATGGAGGCATCAAAATCAGAAGTAAGGGGTTCTCGCTTTCTTGGAAAAGGAGATACTATGACCTTGATGTAAGGAAAGGAATTTAAAAACTAGTTATTCTGAACAGCAGGTTTCAGATTGATCCCCCAGAAACTGTTTTGTTGTTCAGCTGTTTCCTTGAGGAAAACACCAACAGACAAAGTCCTCATAAATGCTTTATTTTTATTTTTTTTTTTAATTTCACATTGGGTCTTTGCCTCTTCTACCAAACCGCTACATGAATAGAATAAGACCAAGTAATCCTCTCTTCTACACCCCTGAAATGTCAATAGGTGATTTCATACTGTGCAGTATGTTGAAGGTGATCTGGAGTCCTTTTTCCAGTGAATAGCATCTTTCCCTGGTGAAAGAAGATTTCTCAAAGGCAGCCTTATCTTGATATTACAGAAGCCCTAAGCAGATTCCTATTTGAAAGGACCCTGCAATAAACTGCTTCATCTGCGTTGATTTGCTCCGATACTTTCTATTGCTTTGAGCTGGAAAAGAGTATTGACTTCAGAGGTGTTAGTAGTGTTTGTAGGCTTCAATGCATCACCTGAAATTATGGCTGTAATGTTGTGTATGGCATTGTAGTTATGAATTTTAAGTAACAAGTATTAGCAACTTGAAAAGTTCCTGAGATTCAAGGTATTGGAAGTTATCTGCTAAAGGAAGAACCTTCTATTCACAAGGGAATCTTAAGAAGAAATGTGCTTTTAATTGTACTGTCCTTTTGTGATAGTTTTTTAGACAGCAAGTACAGAGCAGTAGAAATTTGCATTGAACATGTTCTGGTTTTTATTGCATTTTCCTCATCTATTATTTTTATCTTGTATCCTCTCTGGAAGAGGAGAGTATAAATGTCATCCTGGAGATGTCTGGCCAATTACATTTATGTGTGTGTTGGTCAGTTATTCTTTCCAAACAAAGACCTTCTTTCGCAAAAACATGCGTGTGGGATGAAAAGACTGAACCTGACTCTCTAACCTTTGAAAGTTGATCTGAAATAATCAAAAGGCACTGTTTTGTCAAATCAAAACCTATAGGAACACACCTTAGTCTCATGTTGTTGAAAAGTCATGAAATTCCACAAAAAGACAATTATTCCTATTATTTCTATGAAATAGTCTTGCTATTTAGAGCAAAACCTCTCACCTTAGATTGAGATACCATCACCATGTTCAGTGTCCTCAGAGGAACCAAGCAGCAGAGATTTTCTGTATGCCCAGGCAGTTTCTCTGGAAGAAACTTGCTGATTTTTCGGTTTTAATTACTGTAGGGCTATTGGGTTCTGTCCCTGATGGCTTTATTTGTCACCTGTTTTAAAAAAAAAAAAAAAGGAAATTCTTCTGCCTGCTACTGTAACTGCAAAAATTAAGAAGCCTTTTAAAAATATACTATTGCTGTGGTTTTAATGACAAAACCGAGCTTTTTTTTTCCAACTTAGAATCATAGAATGTTTTGGGTTGGAAGGGACCCCTAGAGGTCATCTAGTCCAACCCCCCCGCAGTGAGCAGGGACACCGCTAACTCGATCAGGGTGCTCAGAGCCCCGTCCAACCTGGCCTTGAATGCCTCCAGGGATGGGGCCTCCACCACCTCTCTGGGCAACCCCTTCCAGTGTTTCACCACCCTCATTGCAAAGAATTTCTTCCTTATATCCAGTCTAAACCTACCCTGTTTTAGTTTAAAACCATTACCCCTTGTCCTGTCACAGCTGGCCCTACTAAAAAGATTTTCCCCCTCTTTCCTATAGGCCCCCTTTAGGTATTGAAAGGCCGCAATCAGGTCTCCCCGCAGCCTTCTCTTCTCCAGGCTGAACAAGCCCAACTCTCTCAGCCTTTCTTCAGAAGAGAGGTGCTCCAGCCCTCGGATCATTTTTGTAGCCCTCCTCTGGACCTGCTCCAACACTTCCATGTCCTTCTTGTGCTGAGGGCTCCAGAGCTGGACGCAGTACTCTAGGTGAGGTCTCACCAGAGGAGCATAGTGAAGGAAAGTTTCTTGGAGGAGGGGGAAGCTTATAGTTGAAGAACACATGACATACCGAGCCATATAAAGCTATTTTGTTCACGTGTGTCCTCTAAAGGAAAGGATGAAGAAGCACCACCAAAATTGCCCCAAAATGAATAAATGAAATTGCATTAAACATAGTGAGTGGTGTACCTTCTTGGTTAAATACAGGATCATACTCTGCCAGGTGTCTTGAGAGCAGTGAAGAGCACTGCAGGTAAAATGATAGTGCCTCACAGCTCAACAGCTACCCTACGTGCAAATACTAGATGCTGTTGCTGTTGTGCAAAACGTATTGCAGTGGATAATAATGAGTAAATGCATACATGAGTGGCTACGCATATAATTGTGTTTTAAGTCCAGTGACTTAAGAATTCTGTTTTGTTGCATGTTGGCTCCATGCTACTGATAAAATTTCACAGGAGTCTCTCAGCTCAGTATCTGTGAAGAAGAAAATTTTTGCTATCTTACGCATTATATTTCTGTTGTTCAAGTAATGACAATTAACTCTTAGGACATCCATGTTTTCAGGAAAAAAGAGGAATATTCTAGAAGTCCAGAAACCTGATCCAGGAACTTGGGTAGGTTCTTCCCTTCTGCAGCAATGATAATGTGGCTAGGTTAAGACGGAGGCTGTCACAAGAGCATTCATTAAACTGCTGTCTGTCTTTGATGGATCTGATTCTGTGGATAGAGTAGAAGACTTGAGATTGGAGTAAGGCCTCTACAGAGGAGTTGGGGGTGGGGTTAGTAAGTCATTGGTGAGGGAAATATCATTCAGGTAAGTATTATAATTTCTTAAAGACATTATGGGGAGATGTTCACTGCATTTCAATAGATGCCATTTTTAATGCACTTGAGAGAAAGTGAATAGAGGAGATAATTGGAATTTTTTTCCAAGAAATGCACTTAAGTTCCCCTCTGCCCCCACCCCCCCATCTACTTGTAATAAACTGAGAGAACTTTCTGGACAGAACATCTTATGATTGATCTCATCTATTGGTAGATGTCTTAAAAGTCTTGAAAGTTCACAGCTCAACGCTTTGGGGTTGGGGTTTTTTTTTTGGCATCACAGCATGAAAAAACTGCATGTCTAGTACTCATCTCTTGTCATCCTCCCCTATTGCAGTGACTATGTGTATGTCTCTGTGTGGCAGAAAATGAGGGAATGCAGATCATTATTCAAGAAGTTACCAACTAGCACTTTTCCTTCCCCTCCAGTCTTTCTGCCTCCCTATCCTGGAAGTATGGAGTCCCTGCCTCAGCCTACGGCTTCATTCTTTTTCCAGCTGCCCACAAAAGTAAAGAACCAGTGTGAGAGTTTGAAGAAAGAATCCGCTCAGAGGACTGAGTCTCAAGCAAAAGCTCCAGGTTGCAGACTCAGAAAGAAACTTCCTTTGGGGAAGGATCTGCTTCCAGGATTTGCTCGTCTCTTTTTCCTTGGGCAAACAGAGTTCTTGAAGCAAACAACAGGGTTGCAGGTAGGTAGGGCCCTTTTGAACTGCCATCCGCTCAGGTGTGAAGGATGGACTTTATGCTGTTTTTCTATGCTTTTTTTTTTTTGGTTGATGTTG